AGTACAGCTTTTAATTACATAAGAGACCTTTTTTTAGCAATTAAACTATAACTAAAATAGTTTTTTCCCCCTCTCATTTCAAGTTTAACTCTTAGGTACTTACATATTTAATAAAAAGCAATTGATCAACTTGTTTTGAAGAGGAAAATTTTGTTTCTGTAATGCTGAAATACTCTTCAAGAAATAATGCAAAAAGTAATGCAAGCCCACCAGCACACACACAAAGACTGCTGCCAGATGCAACTCTGACTTTAATAAAGACTAGCATTTCTCTAGTTGTGGGGAGCTGAAAGATGAGCAGCTGTGGACAGATAGGGGGATGGAGGGAGCTGGTAGAAACAGAATTTTAGAGAGCTACAAAATTGGCATGCAGACTGAAGTGGCATCAGCCTCTCACTTCTAGGTGCACTAAGGAACAATCTCTCCAGAACATACTATGAATGATAGGAACGACACTTTTCAGTTGGGACATTTGTTCAGCTTGGAAAAGAGGCAAAAATTAAAATATAGCTTGCTGAAAAAGCAACTTGTTCCAACTTAATTTTGCCACAGGATATGGAAATAGGGAAAGCACTTTTCTTAAGAGGAAAGGCTCCTTTCATCTCTCTGGAGAAATGTTCTAACACAGTATCACACTCCAATTGTACCATACCTCACAGGGACTGAATGAAGCCTAAGTACTAAAATCCTCAGTAAAGCACTTTATTTATTTATTTATTTTTGCGGTACGCGGGCCTCTCACTGTTGTGGCCTCTCCCGTGGCGGAGCACAGGCTCTGGACGCGCAGGCTCCGCGGCATGTGGGATCTTCCCGGACTGGGGCACGAACCTGTGTCCCCTGAATCGGCAGGCGGACTCTCAACCACTGTGCCACCAGGGAAGCCCCACCTACTTGTCTCTTGAATGACCAGACAAAGAAACAAAATTTTAATCAGTTTGTTCAGTTGGAAAATCGCAGTTAAAAAGCAGAGGAGGGCTTCCCTAGTGGCGCAGTGGTTGAGAGTCTGCCTGCTGATGCAGGGGACATGGGTTCGTGCCCGGGTCCGGGAAGATCCCACATGCCACGGAGCGGCTGGACCCGTGAGCCATGGCCGCTGAGCCTGCGCGTCCGGAGCCTGTGCTCCGCAACAGGAGAGGCCACAACAGTGAGAGGCCACAACAGTGAGAGGCCTGCGTACCGCAAAAAAAAAAAAAAAAAAAGCAGAGGAAGTTAAAGCTATTGCTTAAAAATGTGGCCTAGGGATATGTTTGGATTTTACTTGTCTATACTTTGCCTGTTTGCCCTTCTGCATGAATAATCAAGAACTGACTGTATGCTCTGATCAGGAATGAACCCTTAACTAGAGTTCTGCCTGTATGTTGGTAAAGATGCCTCCTGCCCTTTTCAGCTAGGCTTAAATGCAACAAACTCAGTCTATGACTAAATTTGATCTAATCAGCCACACACACCCACACCCCCGCCCCGGATCCATCGGCACCAAATTTAATAAAACTTCAATTTGGCCTTTCCTTTACATCTCTTTTATTCCTCCAGCACCTCATCTTGAACCTTTCTCCTTCTCTTGACTGATACTGGCACCTTGGTCTTTGGATTCTCTTCACAACTAGAGAAATAAAAACACCTTCTCAGGGTAGAGATAGAAAAATTTCAATCATTTCAAATAGGGACCCTGAAAGGAGTTCTTGGAGAAAAGAATTAAACATATTAGAAATTCAGAGAAGGGAAGAATTCAGAGACCTTGGCTCTGGGTCTGGCTTCACTACCAAATCACTTTCTAAGTTATTTAGACATTCTTGAGGCATTCGTTTTCCCTACCTCAGAGAAATGCTGAGACCACTAAGAGAGTGCTTATTTAATTCACTGGATGAAAACTAATCCAAAAGTAAAAATATTTATGTTAATACTGGAAATGATTCTTGGGCTGAAGGAATTCTTGTCTTAACCTTTTGTGAGTTGTTATATATTATACCCTACAACCTGACATTTAATTTCAAGGTACAATATAATATGTACTCAAGGTACCAAATAATTCCTTTAAGCCAGGCTCAGGTCCTCTCTTCTATTACTATATATATTTACAGATGATGAAATCTCTAATTAGGCAAAATTCTAAGATGTGACCAAACAAAAGGACTGTCCAGTATTCATAAAATGCTAATACAGAAAACAAAGTTGGGGGAGGGAGCAAAGGCCTGGATTCTAAAAAACAGATGAGCTATTTGGGTGTTTGGCTTAAAAAAAAAAAAAAAAAGATGGATTAAAAGTTTATATCTAAAAGGCAACTCTATTTTGAATGGCTCTAACAATCCCATAATAAGTGCAGTATCAAACAAGTCAGGGTAATTAATTCAGTGGACTCTTCCCCTTTCACTGCCAGATTGAACAGCTCTGAGGATAATCTCCTTCATTCTCCCAGAGCTCAGTTGGAAGATTCATTATTTATGCCCTCAATTGTTTACTCTGTCCTACTTTTCCATCCATCCAGGCCCAAGTGCAGTGTTATCACTGGCCTATTTCCAAAGTGAATGTATTAGTTCACTGCCTTACTAGTTACAAACTCAAAGATAATCAAATAGTGGTATCTTAACATTGGAGAGCAACTTCATCCCACCACTTGATCCAGGAGAGAAGTTAATGATAATGCTGACCCAGGTTACCAAAAGCTAAGTTATTTTAGATGGATGAAATGAAACACACAAGTTATTCTAGTCTTGTTTTTTTTTTTTAACCACTGAGCAACATATATGCACATCCAACAGGATTCTTAAAGGGCAGTATCATTAGAAAGACAGCTCTGGCCCTCACCAAGAGCAGACCTGTAAACTATTAAGGATTAAACTGATTGAGATGCACTTTGCCTAGCAACCATTCATTAGGAAGAGTTCAGTAACTCACCAGCAATCAATTCCATGTCCTTATCTAAGCCATAAACAGATAACAGACTCCACCAAGTGCTCTACCCTCTGGATTCAGACAGCAAACAACTTCCTCAAAAGATTCAGCTTCCAAGAGTCAACCTTTGGGGGAGGGGGTTGTGCTTAAACACACAAAATATTGTCTCAGACACCTGACTGACAGAGCTGAATAGCTAAAAACTACCACCAGCCCCATCTCCATATGAATGCATTCATTGTCTCCCAGGTCTTTTTGCCTCTAATATTTTCTCACCTTGAGCAAGCTTTTCCCAATTCCAAACCTGATAACACTCAAGCTGATTATCATGAGAATCAAACAACGCCAAGGGTCCAATCTTTTCCTTCACCTTCTCAAGGGGACCATTTTATACTTCTGATGCGAATGGGGGATTGGGCTTGAGTCTCCCTTTAGAGAGAACATAGGGCCCTTTTTCTTAACACATTCTAAGCTGTGACTCACAGAAATAAGCAGGATGGATAAAAACAGATTGCTAAAGAAAAATCAGTGGACTGAACCTCAGCTGCACCATGTCCCCTCAACCTATGAGATTATGGAAAGTCATGGGGGGATTCTCTTTGCCTTTCAATTTAAACATGATTCATGGAGTCTTAAGGGATAAATGGGTAATAAACTAAAAACCCAAAATCTAACAAAGGTTTACTGTGAATCTACTTTTTTTTGCACAACTCTATATTAAGGCTACTTGCGATTAAAAAAAAAAAAGTATATTAAGTTCCTGATCCCTAGTAAGTTTCCACAACTGAGATGGTTTCCTACCCCATCATCCCTAGTCTTTATAATACTTGCTTTTACCCCAAACTGCTCCTTATTGATTAGAGATAAAATAAATCAATGCAAAGAAAAAATATTAATCTAGCTTAAATGGTAAAACAGCTCCAGCATATTAATTCTATCTTCAAAACTGAACTCCAGTTAGAACAATTTCTGGAAACTGAACCTGGATTACAAGACTGAACTCTCAATCATTTCAATTAATACCAAAGTGCTGCCAAAAAAATTGGTATTTCTCACTTTTGGCATTCTAGCTCTTTGCTAATCAACATTAAGATAAATCTGGTCCAAACAAGTTTACCATGAACACTGCCACTCACACACACACACACACGCACACCCTCCTTTGTTTCTATCATAAATTTTGGGTTTTCTATCTTCAATTGATAACTTTCCTCTCAATTAAAAACCTATAAAGAGGTTCCTGATTTTGGCTGAAGATGAGCTCTGTCCTTCAGAAAGAAGGGATTCATACATTGTAGAAGCAAAGGAACTCAAGACATACATAAAAATTGTAATGATACAGCCACACGAATTCATGGGGGTGGCGCTTTAAAAAATAAATGAATTAAACAAAATTCATCTGGATTTGTTTAAAGTTTGGTTTTTGATGACAGAAACTAATCCCTCTGAGAGCCTGTGAATGAGAAATATACAGATGGAGAAAAAGATAAGACTTTTAAGTTTCAGTAACAGCAAGGTAAGTTTGCTTGCTCTAGCTAGGTTTCTCCAACAGGGCTGAGTGCTACACAAAGCCGGTAACACTGTACTCGGGGAGAGACTTTAGCAGAGTTAATCGCTAACAACTATCAGGATTTCCTTTAACCACCATCTGACGGGGGCTGATCCCTCTTTCCACTAGCACCTCCTTCCTTTTCAGATTGTTTTTGCTGATTAAGGCAGTCCCAAGTAGGAAAATGGTGAAGACAGCCTTAATGGACACGGATGCAGAACAGTTCCAAAAACCCACTCCTATCCTAAACTGTTTTTTTCCTTTTTTTTTTTTTGGTTTGCTGCATCAGATGCCACACAAGAAAGGGCTCCTCTTTTTTTCTTCTGTTCATTTTACTACGCGACCGACATCGACACATCAGTAAAAAGAGATGAGAGTCCTGAATCTCCTTACCCTGCTGCACGGGTGAGATGAAGGGAGGGAAAGAAGAATGAAGGGTAGAATTAGAAAATCAAAATAAACTGATTAGATGGGGAGCTCTTACTTCCCATTCCATTTCCCCCTTTCTCACAAGGTTAAGTCGGCTGAAGTCGGGGTTGGTTAGAAAAAGCACACACACCTTGAGCCCTGGAAGGGAGGGAGGTGAGGTTCGCTCCGCAGCGCTCGGTGGGGCTCCGGGCTCCGCCCCGCCTGCCTGGGGCAGCTCAGCCCTCCTCGCCTGAGCCCCGGGAGGATGGAAGAGAAGGGGTTTCTAGCTGTCTTGGCAGGGGGAGGGGGAGGCGGCTGCTCCGGGTGCCAGGCTCTCTGAGCGCAGCACTCCGCGGCGCGCCGACACCCCCTCCCCCAGCCGGCTACCGCTCGCTCCCCCTTCGCCGCCGGAAGCCAGCCCCGCCCCCTCAACTCCATCCCGGCCCTTCTCGAGCCCCCTCCAGTCCGCATAGCCAATGGCGAGCCAGGGAGCCAGCGGAGCGACTCACCAAACAGCCAACTGGGGAGGCCCACTGGGAGGTCAGCCGCCCGGGATAGGCCAGCTACCCGCGGCCCCGGCCCTGGCACGGCTCCTCTTTGTTAGAGCTGCCCCCATCTCTCCAGGCCCCCACCCCGAAGCCTGCAGCCCGGCATCCTGGATGCGCCAGGTGATGCGGCGCCCCTTCTCCTGCTCCCCCGCCCACGCCCTGCCTGGGTACTAGGAGTGACCCCCAGCCAGGCAGTACCTCCCAGAGTGCATCAGACTTCCACAGCAATAGCCATCCGGAGACACCTGAGAGTAGAAAGATGCTCCCCAGGCCTCTCTGCCTCGCCCTTCTTTTCTCAGACTAATCAACTGCACTCCCTCATAACTGCATAGATTTAGGTTTGCATATTAGATCAGCTGCACACATCAATCCACCCTGTCTGAAACTCCTGCTTCCCGTGACGCAGAAATTAGCGGGGAGGGGGCGCATACTGGGAAGGGATTTATCTGGAAGTTGGTGCGCTGGGAGAAGGAATACATCAAATCATCTGCAACAAACAAAACACCAAAGACACACACTCAGTTGGATCCAACCCAGCTCAGATACAAGCTATCTACATCCAATTAAACCCAGGCTAACCACTCCCTTAGCAGGTTTCAGTACAATTAGGAAACAAACATCTAAGTCTTGTTCAAGCCATACACCTAATATTAGAAAAAACTCTCAGGAACTGCCAGGCCTCCGCATAACTGGCAGGTTGCATCAACACTTCAATCACTAACGTCAATGTTAAGGGCCTAACACTGCTGGGATGGAATATGCTAAAGACTGTCGAATATTTTCTTAGGTATAGTGGTGAAGCAGTAGTAGGGGTTCATTTAAGAAAAACAAAGTGGGGATGGGGAAGGCAAGTTATTACCTACACTGTCATTTTTGTCCACAAAGTTCTTGCAACTAATGTTAAGTGTCTACCTCACACTACAATCCCGCTTAGTTCCCAAGTGCTACTACAATTTTTAAAAAACAACAACAAAACACTTTAAAATTAAGTAGCCTTTTCTTATGTGGAGCCCAAAGCATTTCATATATATATATAACCTCAGTGTTCTGGGAAGACGGAAAAGGAATTGTGTGACATGCCCATTTAAAAGCCAGCTCTTTTTTCTAACCCAAATTAAAAGGCTTGGGCTTAAATGGATTTATGGAGGAACTTCATTGCTGTCTCATAGGCTAAGTTCCAGATAAAAAGACCCAAACGTGAAAATTTTATTTTAAATACTGCCCACAAAAGTCTCCCAAATTAGCTAACGAGTCCATTCCCTTTCCAAATACATCTGACCTAAACAAAAATCCTCAAAAGCACAAAAGCAGTTACAACTCTCCGTATCATTTAGCAATTCTCTGGCATTTTCCATATTAAAACAACTAAACAATACTTCAAGAAACTACTATTTTAAATAGCTGACCTAAAAGCTACTCTTTTTTTTTTTTTTTTTTGCGGTGCGCGGGCCTCTCACTGTTGTGGCCTCTCCCGTTGCGGAGCACAGGCTCCGGACGCGCAGGCTCAGCGGCCATGGCTCACGGGCCCAGCCGCTCCGCGACATGTGGGATCTTCCCGGACCGGGGCACGAACCCGCATTCCCTGCATCAGCAGGCGGACTCTCAACCACTGCGCCACTGCGCCACCAGGGAAGCCCTAAAAGCTACTCTTGATGACTAAGGTAAACAGCTGTGTCAGTACTTTCCTTCAAATTCTAACCTTCTTGAAAAAGGCAACTTTTCTCTCTTTAAGGATTAAATAGAAACTAAGATTTAGGGAATTCCCTGGCGGTCCAGTGGTTAGGACTCCACGCTCTCTCATAGCCAAGGGCCTGGGTTCAATCCCTGGTCAGAGAACTAAAATCCTACAAGCCGACTGCGCGGCCAAAAAAAAAACCCTTCCAAGATCACCCATTAATTTGCCAAGACATCAAAAACAAACAAATAAACATGCCAGTCTCACCATTATCACAAATGTTCTTGACAATTAGATAATTCAGACAAAACTTCTAATATCCTCTTCTAAAATATAAATGAGGAACTCAGGGTATTTTGAATACCTAAAATAAAATTAAAACATCAAATTTATCTTCATCTACACAGTCCAAGAAAACAGAGAGGAATTACAACTGTTTAATACAAGATCACAGGGGAAGCCCAAAACACTTCCTCCTACAGAGGAACTCAAGTCCAATTTCTTTTCATGCCGCTCAAATGTACTCTATCTTATTACCACTACCCTAACAGAGAACCTTACTACGTCTGTGGGGGAAACTATAACTTCTTTCTAGCCTCCCTAATTCCACATAGCACTGCTTTCACATCCATTTGCTCTTCTCCTTAAGAACTACAGAAACAGTTCAATTTATTGCACATTTACTAGGTGCAAGCCCCTGTGTCAAGGGGGGAAAAATACACACACACACACACACACACACACACACACACACAAAACAGATAATAACAAGGACTTACTGTATATCACAGAGAACTATATTCAATGATATATTGTAATAAGTTATAATGGCAAAGAATCTAAAAAAATATACATATAAATGAATCACTTTGCTGTACACCTGAAAAATATTGTAAGTCAACTATACTTCAGTTAAAAAAAATACATAATAAATAATTATGATTTTATCATCATGATAAACCTATGAAATAGATATTTCCCCCATTTTTACAGACAAAGAAACTGAGGTCCAGAGAGGCTGAACAATCTGCTCTAGGTCACAAAGGTGGTAAATGGAAAAGCCAGTTTTAGAAGTTGAGTATTCCTGGCTCCAAGTCTAATACTCCTATCCACTAAGCTCTACTGTGGCTCTCTGGTGCCTATGCCATCCAACCAAGCTTCCACTCTATGGCTATTGTATGTTCCACAGTCTGGTACTATCCTATGTTATAAAACTTACTCTCCACCTTTCCTCAGCAGTTTACCCCCATAACAGACAGACCGATCTGCTTGCTCACTGTCTGTGTATCTTCCATTTCTACTTTCTTGCCATGACTTGTATTGTTATAACCATTCCATTTAAATCCTACCCATTCTTCAAGGCTCAGCTCAAATTCCACCTCCCTTGTGGAGCCTTCTTTAATGCTGTCAGCAATGATTCCTTTTCTGAATCACTACTACACAATTTAGTACTTAACTGTTCTGTTGTCTAATATGTGATTTGTCTTCCTAACTTAGCCGGTAAGTCAAAGCTTATATTACACTTGTCTTTGTATCTTCTCCTTTCCCAATTTTGCACAGTAAGTCATACATAGTAAAGTTCTCTATAAATATTTAGACCAGTAAACACTACAGCAAAAGAATAGTCCAAATCACTAAATGACCCAAGTTCTCATAACAGCCACCAAAGTTGAAATAATTAATAACTTCATTCATTTTCAAGATAGAACAAATAACCAAATTCTAAGTCTGCCGGTAATGACCAAGGACTTATCCACTCTGTGCTTCAACAATATCATGGACAAATTGCTAGGAGGGGATTCAAGAGGGCTGGTAATGTTTCTTGATCTGAGAACTAGTTATGTAAGTATGTTCAATTTGTGAAAATTCATTGAGCTGTACACTTAACGTGCACTTTCCTATACATTTTATCTCAATAAAAAGTTTTAAAACATCAAGTTTCAGATTGTATTATAAGATAAACACATCGATTTTTAAAGCACATATGAATATTATATATATGTCTGTAGGTCCAAGAAAATATCTGGAAGTACATACACCAATCTGTCAACAGTAGTAACCACTGAGAGGAGGAAAAGAGGGGTACGGAGGAATGAAGAAGAAAAAATTTTTATATTTGTTTTACTCAGTCTTTTAAAAGATAAAAAACATGCATTAATTTTGTAATTTTAATAGATTAGCTGAGTAGTAGAATTACAAATTACTATTTTTGTAACTTTTAAACTTTCTGTGTTGAACATGCCTTACATTCATAATCAGCAAAAGATATTAAAACACAAAACAAACATACCATCTCTCAGAAACAGAAGGAAAAGATCAATGGGTTGGATTGAAAACTAGTTTAGGTAACATCCATCTAGTCTGATCATTGTTTGCACTTCAAGATTTCTTGAGTACTCTATTTTGCAAATTTCCCAAATGACACTTTTAACAAGCAAAAAAACCCCAAAGAGGTGCCTTTGATGCTTAATTTACTCAAATCAAAATAAATATACAGTTTTCAGCAGAACCAGATAACAAAAATAAAACAATAACAATGATCTATTCTGAACCTAAGCTAAACACTATTTTAAAAAAAGGCATTTTCCAAATCAAAACTACGAGGTACCACCTCATGCCAGTCAGAATGGTCATCATTAAAAAGTCTACAAATAACAAATGCTGGAGAGGGTGTGGAGAAAAGGGAACCCTCCTACACTGTTGGTAGGAATGTAAATTGGTGCAGCCACTATGGAAAACAGTACGGAGGTTCCTCAAAAAACTAAAAATAGAGTTGCCATATGATCCAGAAATCCCACTCCTGCACACATATCCAGACAAAACTATAATTTGAAAAGATACCTGCACCCCAAGCCCCCATGTTCATAGCAGCACTATTTATAATAGCCAAGGCATGGAAGCAACCTAAATGTCCATCAACAGATAAATGGATACAGAAGATGTGGTATATATAAACAATGGAATGCTACTCAGCCAGAAAAAAATGAAATAATGCCATTTGCAGCAATGAAGATGGACCTAGAGATTATCATACTAAGTGAAATAAATCAGAAGCAGGGGGAGGATGAATTCAGAGACTGGGATTGACATATACTGATACTATGTATAAAATAGATAACTAATGAGAACCTACTTTATAGCACAGGGAACTCTACTCAATGC